GAGAACGCCTGAGAAATATTATTTCTTTCGGGAATCCTTTCGCCGCGATTGAGCTGTCGACGATCCGTCTTTCGTCCTCGACGAGCTTCCCTCGAACCGTGGTGGCAGTTTCCGCAGGTCTTCGTGATTTCGCCGATCTCCTGTCAACGGAAAAAAATAATCGTTGAAGAAAGTCGATCAAAGTCGATTTACTTCATTATTGTAAATATACAATAACTACGGAAGGGGAAAAGATAATTGCGCAATTTACTGACTTTTTCCCACTTTATTCCACTCTCTTTGGAAGCTCGGTGAAATGAACGGAACCATGTTCTTTTTATTTTTAAATCGTTTAATATGCAATTCGCCAAAAATTTTTCGATGAATTTTAAACATCATTTAATCGTCGTATCAAATGTCGTTAAGTGGACAAAGTTGGGAAAATGTCACTAAACTGTGCAATCTCCATCTAAAATATTTTTACAGAAGCTTTTGATATCACGTTCATAAGTTGCCCAATATTTTATCCACGATTCAAGTAAGTGGTACAAGCAAGGCAGAAAGTGAAACCGATACAATGAAACGTAGATATAGACACTTGTGAAACTCCGAACGTCACGACAATTTCAATAAACTACCCATTTCTTGCTAATAACATAATTTCTTTTCTAATACAGTAAAAAATGATAATTTTTAAATTACCACTTAACAATGAATGATAACGACACTTAGTAACGAATTACGAAATCTGACACAGTTAACCTCTTTTTACACAAATTATCGTCGCGTAAATTTATTACATGTCGTCGAATAACGAGCACATTAATTTCAATTAGATTTTTTTTTGTTTCGCGAGACGAAGAATGCTTATTGCTGTATCACAATCTCACGCATCACATGGCGTTGCACTTGACAACGCACTACTAATACAATGGTCTGTATATGCGCATGTCCACACCCCATTCTGCTTCCGAACATATGTAGACCGAGGCACGTTTGGGAAAAGTTGATCGATATTGTCGTCGACGCTTACGTTCTCTACCCACGGGCACTACTTTTTCTCCTAGTGAAATTTCAAGATTCGTCGACCGAGTTGACAGCTCGAGACAAGTGCGCGAGAATGCATTTTGGATAATATTTTCTACCCCAATTTGATGTGAATTAATTATTTTCAAAATTAAGCCGACTTGTATTTGAAACTGAATTGTAACAAGATTCGTGTAAATGTCAAATTTGTCACGTCGGTTCACTGTTAGCAGCTACTTGTTATCACTACTGCAGCAAAAACTTATCAAATCAAATTTAATCCTTTCACATGATGAAAATTTTAACGCACACTGTCACTGTATTGTACGTGCTACATGGACAAGCATGGAGAATAAAAATCGTTAATTTAATAGAATATATCCAATATGGCACTACTTCCACTCGCGAGAAATGGTACAATTACCAAAATAAACACATGTTCCATTTGACATACTTTATTGGTTTTTTTAACAAAAATCCAGGTTATACCGACCTGGGTTGGTAACTTTGGAAAAGGATAGAAAGTACGAAAGGAAGGTAGATTTAACGAAAACGCAAATACGAATAAAAAGTGTGAAGCGCGTAACTGCCGCGTAATTCGCGATCACCCTTACCGATGATTCCCGATATAACAGAGAAGAAATGTTTCATCTCACTTAGGAGAAAAATATAGAAAGCTCGTCGCGGAGCGCAACCGAAAGCGCGAGGAAATATGTGCGCGCCAGCAGACACGGCGCGTACAGCGAAGCGCGACGAACTTGACTCTCAAAGCAGTGGACCGTCCGACAAGTTAATAAAAACGGAACGTAGAGACCCCACTTTCTTATTATCGCGCGAACAAGGTACACCCGCGATCGTGTCACGCGTACACACTACTATGCTCACGATAAATGTTCACGCAACCGCGAGAAGAAGAACAACGGGCTTCGATAAGAGATAACGTACGAAAATTATGTTACACTCACTGACTCTGGGCTCGATTGGAATAAAACTTGTTTTGTCCATTGAAGTTGGTCGTTCCAGCGCGAACTTCTTTCTTTTTCGTTCCTCACTGTGTTTCACTCAACGAACCGGACGACGAGGACGTACTAAATGAAATTTCTTATCTTTTTTCCGTTTCGTGTCGTTCGTCATTTCCGAAAGAGGGGCTTTTTTCTCTTCGTTCCATGTTTGCTAGACGTTTTCTTCCACTCTGAAAGTTCACGCAGGTTCCGAGCACAGTTTTCCGTAGAAAAACACAACGGGGCGCCACGAGATGTAGATACTTCGCTCTCACTCTTACTACTACTACTTCTTCTTCCTCTTCTTCTTCTTCTTTATTCTATTTCATACAGCCTTGTCTCACACGTGTCGAAAACGCGAAATCCTTTGCAAGAGTTAGAAAACACGTCGTTCGAGAAAAATCGATGCTCGAACGTACCAAACACAGAAAGAAAGATCGCGCCTCTTACCGTCTCGTCTTCTCTTCACTCAAAATATATATGCGTAATATTTTATAAAGGCGAAAGGCTTGCACAAGCCCATATAGACGTATGCAAGTGTGAATTGTCCTCTGTGTATACGTCTTACGCCTCACCCCTTTCCTCTAATACCGTTCTCTTTCTACGCAACATATATGTGTGTATATATATATATACATACATATGTATATATATATATGTGATATACGCACATATATATATATATCTCCCTTTTTCTTTCTTATCTTTCGGTTTCCGTTCTTTCTCCTCCGTCTTTCGCGATCTCACACACTATTTCTCTTTGCTTCGTTCTTTCTATCAGTATAGCCGTGTGCACGGCCCTATACGTGTGGTACGTAGTATACCGTGCGCAGCTACGTAGACCATCCGTGTATACGAATACGAGTGGCAGGCGCGCGCGCCTGTGTTGCGTTCGTGTGTGCACTTGATTAGCCGTGTGACGTCAGGCCGCGATTACATCGCTCGCGATTGTCACTCAAATCGACGAGTAAAACCACAGAAGAATTCAGGCGGGAAAGGTGGTCGAAGACACGCGGACGAACCCCGGACCGCGAAACGACGGACGATCCGTCGCGCAACGGCTAAAGGCGGCGGCGAGCCTTCGCGCAAACCACCCGCGGTATTCGTGAAACGACTGGCTCCATGCAACGATTCTAGTCGTACAGAGAGACGAGAGATGTCCCGCTAGATGGCACCACCGTTTATCGCGAGGGGGCTCCGGCGGCCGTGCATACTGCGCTCCGCGTAGGTACCGCAACTCATCGAGCACTGTCGAATTCGAACGATTATTCCCGATCCAACCCGAACGCTCACGATCGCGCCCGAACGATTCAATATCAAGTGCACGACCCTCTCTCCGTTCCGACGAGCACATGGAACCGCGCGAATGACGCTGCGTGTCCATCAATTTTATTTATACGCTTATGTTCCTTCGTCGTTTGATACTGCGGTGTCTGTAGCCCCCCATTTTCTCGCGCCATTTATTTCGAAAAATTTTCACATCCACCTGTACCAATTGTGAAATTGCTTTGTTACATAAACTCAGACATGATGTATATTTGTATCGACGATTTTTCTACTTATGTTACAGGACTGCGTTTTGTTATTAAATATTGACCTTATTTTTAATGTTAACATATTGATAATATGTACATACACGCAGAAGAGAGTTATATAGATCAATTTATTGCCATTAACAATATATCTGTGTACAGTTATAACTTAATTATTAACGAATTAGAAAATTCGGTATTCTTGAAAAATACACATCACAAGCCCATTTACTATTTTCGTTACATATTTATTTTATTGCAAACATTAATATTTGGATCATTGGTTTTTTTCAATGAAAAAAGAAAATTAAGAAATTTAGAACACTAAGAAATTTAAGAAATTTAGAAGATTTAAATTATTTTCATTGATTATTTATTTACTTTTCTTTATTCATATATGTTACTAAAAATGGTAAAATGTCAGAGCATTTTTCTTTTACTAACTGTTCTATATTCTGCGTGTTACTATTCAGCAATGATAAATTAGTACATGGTATCAATAATTTGCAAACAGATATGGAGCGTGCCATAAGTGCTCTATGCAAAGCAGTATGGCCATCAACATCCCTTAGATTAGGGTTTGCATTGAATCTTAACAATAGTTCGACGATTTCCGAGTAACCTTGCATAGCTGCTCTGTGCAAAGCAGTAGCACGTCCACAACGTGTTTGTACATTCACTGCTGCATCATTTTCTAATAAAATATTACAAATTTTATAGTGTCCATTTCGAGCTGCGTAATGCAACGCTGTATACCCAGCAGAATCTTCTGCATTAGGTGAAACACCTTTCTTCAATAAGGCTTTTACACGATCCAAATCATTATATTGCGCTGAAAATTACATAAATATCATTAACAATAATTCCAAAAATACAGTAGTATAATTAAGATAAGATAAATTTAATTATTTACCGGCGTACCATATACCACGTTCAAACTCCATTTCCACAAGAGACTGAGTGACACCGATATTGCTATTTATACTGCAGCATGTATTACAATTATTACAGCTATGACTGTATTCCATGTTTGCTGCAGACGTAATTAGCGTCTCGATAATTTACCTAGCAGTTTATTAGAAAAGAAAAAAAATAAAAATTGTGCTTAAAAATACTTTTATCGCATAAATTTGAACATTACATCATTATAAAAATAAATATTTATAAATTTTTTTCTAAAATTTATAGATAATTGTGTGAAGAAGGCACATAAAATATCACTTTTAAATCATAGCAGTCATATATTTTTCAATGAGTGTTCATTGACAATATGCAAAAATGTATTTTATGTTTATACAGTTACATGTGTATAACTTTATGATATATATGTCTGTATATTGAATATATATATGAAAATAAGGCCAATATATCGACCTTCATACATTATAATATTACGATTATTATGTTTCGATTATTATTAATTAGAAGTTATAAATTCAATAGTTTCATAATTATTACTAATTTTCTTTAGCATAATGCTGTACTAACAAATATAATCTTATGATTTCATAAATGAATTCAACAAATAGTGAATATAATGTAAATTCTTTTGCAACATTATGTAACATTAATGCTAGTTTTGATTCCGTATATTGTATAAAAATGTTTCAAATATGCACAAACAATATAACATAACACAAACATAATAATACAATTTAATTAAAAATTAAATTGCAAATGAAAAAAATATGGAATGTCTCAGACATAAAGAAGACACAAAACCAGATTATTAGTATATTACACAAAATCACTTAATATCGATACTGTATATAATAATTGCGAAAAAGATAAGCGTTAATATTCTTATTATTTTTTAATCTCTCTTAATTTTAATGAGCATATTACTTTTATGCGTTTTTATAATAAATAATAAAATTGTTCCAAAATTCCAAAAAAAAAAAAAAAAAAAAAGATTGAACCAGAAAAGTGTAAAAGCTAGCAACTTGATTTTGTACAGTCTTATTGTTAATTTATATAAAAATTAACTGAAGACATTTTATATTTAATTCACCTCAAGATAGTACAAATTAAATATATTCAAGTATAAAACGATGTAATTTTAATCTATTAAATGTAATATATATAAAAACTTGCTAAAATTTCTCGTGAAAATCTATTGGTACAAATATACGTTAGATAAAAAATATACATTCCTAAAGCAAGTTAAAAAATATTGATAAAAATTTAATAATGAAAGTGAACACACTGCTGTATATATCTACGTGTGTTCTTTGTATATAAATATTTTATATGATTAAATAATACTTTATTCATGCTGGTTTCTTAATTTGCGTGCATATTAAGAAATGAGCACGCATAGTTTAAATGTATAAATAGTATTTTTTTTTTTTTTATAAATTATAGTCCTGAGAGTAATTGTTGATTTTACAATTCCCTTTGCAGTGTCCAAAGTACTTCGGATTCTCCCGTGCTACAGATAACTCGATATCCTAATTCTGCCAGGACGTTAATGATGGCAAAAGGTGATCCTGCAATAAATTTTATTGCATAAATTAAGAGAATATTTTGCATAATTGCAAAAATGTACGATACACTAATCTATATCAATCTTGTCTTCGATAATAATATACTAGTGTTACTTGTAAAATTAATGCACAATATTTATAAATATAATGTTTTATTATCGAATGAAAACATTCCAGCAATTAAATATGTAATGGCGAACAAAAAATTCTAACTATTACTACTTTTACCATCAACTTCCAGAAACGAAATATATAATTTGAAAATCAGCATTTATTTTATCCAGAACATTTTTTTATGCATAAAACTTATACATTGTATGTTACAAATGTTATTACAAAAAACAAAATAAAAAATATTTTTCAGGTAAATATAAAAGTGAAATTTAATGAATCATGAAAACAATGTGTAAAAAATGATCGATCGGTAACCTTGGATCATAATGCCGTTGACCACATTTGGCCCAGAGTTTGGAAAACGCTTGGAAAGAGCCAAAATTTCGTCCGAATTTAAACCAAGCACAATACTAGAACTCCCAAATGGAGAGGCTTTTACGCCAACGTAATAGTAACTCTCATCATTTATTACGCTGGCTAATTTCCCGATGGATGCATTTCCTGATTGCGACATTGTTGAGCTAAAAGGGATTGTTAAACTTCGTTGTCTTTTACTGTCAAAAGAAAAATGTTGCTTCTAGAATGCTGTTGGGAAAAATATAAACATATTTTGTAACTCTCTCATTTTCTCTTGAAAGAGAAAATCCTATTATTTAACTACTAGATCTTATATAATATTAAGAACATTATATACAATACAAGTATGTCTAATTTCATAAATAAAAAAATCAATACTTCTATGCTAGTAAAAATATACTTTTATGTTTGATAATAAAAAAAGTTCACAGTAAAATCGATAAAATTTTATTTCAAACCTTTCAAAACAATATTAGTACAATGTTGTAATAAACTTACAATATTATATTTAAACAAGTGGAAAAATGGGAATAACATAACATCGTAAATTTATAATTTAATTTTTTTAATGTATCAGAGGAAAAGACAAGTTATTATATATATATATAATTTATAGTAATTAAAAATTAAATTAGAAAATCCGAACAATTAGACTCAAATATATTTCTCAATATCATATAATTCGTTTAAAAAATATAAAAAAAATAATACAAAATGCTTTTTTTACAAATATTCACAATAAGTCATTTTTTAAAATGGATAACAAATTTTCATTTGTGTAATTTTTCTCTTCTCTCTTTATCGTCTAATTATATTTCACTAACAATAAGGAATTTTAAATATTATGTACGTATGCAATAATAAATAGGTAAAATGTATTATTTAAAATTAGATATTAGACTCTCTCCATTAACTTATGTTTTGCTCTTTCTTCGTTATAATGCATGATACGAAGTTCATAAGCCCAACGAACATCACTTTGATATTTATCTTTCTGAAGTTCCCATTGTAATCTTTCTATTTCCAAGACTTTAAGTTGTACTTCTAATTCTGCAAATTTTCTTGCGGCCTTTTTATGAAATAAATCATCTTCAGATATTTTACTGTGCAAATAAGACTGAGACAATTGTTTTTGAGTATTACTTGATTGTCTTTTATGACATATATATTCTTGAGGTATAGCTATACAAAATTTTTAAAAATCTTAAAAATTTGTTGTAAATAATTATTTTTAATGATTAATTGTATAATCTTATCTAATTTAACAATTTAATAATTTCAATTATAAATTATCTTTTTTCCAAATTACCAGATGTAGTAGTTGGAGAATCATTTTGATTTGTCCCCCTATTCCAATTGGCAAAATTTTCATCTGTGGTTTCATAATTTCCCTGACTTTCCATGATTGTACTATTTTGACTTGTGTAATTTTGTTCATTATTGCGTACTGATGAATCTATGTTTTGTTGCGTTGAATTAAGTGTTTCAAGTAAAAATATACTTAAATTATCAAATCCTTCTTTTGTACCTTGATCAGCCATTATTCACTTTATGTCAAGGTTATTAGCTTTCTATTTCTTATTGTGTATTATGTTATGGCACTTGTTTAAATTGTTGCCTGACATCTTTTGGACACTTTGGGTATCTTTCCATATGTCGTTTCATACAAGTTTGAATGTATGACTGATTACAAAATTTACAAAATGTAATTATTTGAGATCCCATCTTTTTATTATAATAGTTTCAATTCTTTGTTTCTTTATTATGACTTCTTTTTCAAGTTTCACAATATATATTCCCAAACTGTGTATGTTTTATTTATTTTATATTTACAAGATTTTTAATTTTTCAAATACGAAACCAATTGAAATTTAATACAATAAAAACATAAATTTTTTTTATAGAACATTATTTATATAGTTATATTTTTTTTTTATACGGAATCAAAACTGAAATCTTTAATGTTTGTATAGGAAACCAAGTACAAGTTAAAGATGAAAAAAATTGATCTACAAATGTAAAGATTACATTCAAAAGTACATTATTAGCACAGCATCAACAGTTTAATTAATTCTAATAATTTTAAAAAATATCAAAAAATATAGTTTATTTGAAACTTTCTAAACATATAAGTTAAGATTGTATACCTTTTAATCATTCAAGTAATCAAACATAATTTTCGAATACTATTTTTTATCATCAAAAATTTGGCAAATTTGCACCATATAATAGCACCCATAATAAAAATCAATACAAATTCGTAATGTCGAAACGAATTGTTGACTTATACAATGACGAAACTTTTAAGCAAACATTGCATTAACGAATGATATGTGTCATTGCTGCATAAAATGATCGTTATCAAACTAAAACCAACATTAAATACATTACCACAAGCCATACATAACCTCTGTAAGATCATACTTGCATTCGCCACTGTTATAAGAATGTAATATAGCTAACGAATATTTTGAATCCTATAATTCGTTGTGATTTATATGAACGTATATTAAAATTTCATACAATTTATTAAAACATTATTTCTGTAGGAATTTCTTTACGCAAAATACCGAAATACCTTGTGAGTAGAAAATTTTAACAAAAAGATACAAAAATGAATATGAATGAATTAGTATTCCAGTGTAATTTTTAACTTTTTAATATTTTAAATCTGTACTCTTAACTGCATTTTTTTTCGATAAGATTAGAAATGCTGCATATAAAAAAATTTATTACATTTCATTTATAGAGTACGTAAAGTGTAAAGTTTAAAAATATAAATAGATACATATTTAATAACTTTCTTTCCTCTTGCGTTTAAGATGTAAATAAAATTTACACAAAAATGGAAGCTATAAATTTATGCGACCTTTTTAATTTGAATACAAATTTTAAGTTTTAATGCAAAATGTATTGTATATTTATCGTATATTTATCAATAAAAATAAATTGATTATTACAACATAATCATACCTGTTTTAATAATAGGTTCAGGTTCAGGTTCAGAAAAATCTTTTCTCATAGTCCACATGTATTCATTATAATCTTGTTTGACACTTGTGCTTGAAGATGCTACGACTTTATAACCAAGAACTTCTAAAGCAGTTAATATTACACAAGGATGTTGCAAATACACTATTGTCGAATCATCACAATATCCCCCAGAAGCAAAGCGGCTTAATTGTTCTATATCTGATGCTATAACACACGTGAATAATGTCATACACGTTTTCAACGTTATTTCGTTTCGATTTTTTACATAACATTTAAAAATAAGAATTATAAATATCATATGACATTTAAAAATTAAAAATCAAAGAATATTAAAAAAATTAAGAATTATAAAAGTTATACGTCCAAACGGTATTCCAGCGAATATTGAAAAGCGATATGAATGATACTGCTTGCAATATACGCGATAATTATTATCATTTTATCACGAACGTCAGCAGGCGTATCGTTTTACTTAAACTATAAAATATCAATTACACTCACAAACAATATTATAATTTAGATAAAACAATACAAAGTCCTTCTATATTTATTTATTAAATTAATGTATTAATTTTAATAAATACTATTTCAAATTAACTAATATATTTATTATTGCATAGTAATATATTTGTAAATTGCATAATAAATTTAGCATTACTCTGATTTCACATTAGTTGATTTCTTTATTCAGAAAACATCTAATAAACATATTAATGTAAATGGCAATTGATTGATTAAGGAATTAATTTATCGATATGTAGATTTAGAAAGAAATCTATGTCTTTTCGTAATATTTTATATTCAAAAACCAAGAATTTAATATCAATTAACAACGTTTATTATTTAAACTTCCATTACATAAATAAATTAAATATAAACATATTAAATATTTAAGCTTTAAGACAAAATATTATACCTTTAAGACCTGATACTAAAACTCTCCATGGATATCGGTGACCATATGATGCAAGATTGCCACGTACCAAAATGTATGGCATCTGTAATATTATTCTACAACAAATTTTATTTAATAAATATTTACATTATATATAAGACATATATGTATACTTAAATTATACTGACACATATAAATTTAATATTTTATAACAGCAGTTATTAAATTTAATAATGCATGCATTCTTAATAAATGCATATGGTATATATGTATATATATAATATAGATATAAATATATAACAATGTTTCTTCCTATAAACTTAATTATTAGGATAATTATTGTAATTCATTGTGTAAAGCATGATTATTCAGTTATTAATTTAATGCAATAGAGAACACTAACCTACAAATCTCAATATTACATTACCTTACAAAAAAAGAAACTAAATTACTTTTTGGTATTCAAAATTGTGTTAATTTACATTTTTTATGCTTATAAATTAAACACAGTTACTAATTATGTGTGTCTGACAGATATTGTTGACACACACATATTATGCAATTTTCTTATTAATCATTATTTGTCAACCTTTTGTTTTGTTTCAGAATTATTATTAATAACTCTTGAATTTACTCACCTGTTAACATGTACAAAATTTATTTCACCGATACTATTTTTAAATTAAAAATCTTATATTTTACTATCAATTACTAAAAATAATAAGGTGAATGAATCAAATTGATTTCTTGAGAAACAAGAGCACTGTCAAGAATTTTAGACTGGAAAGAAATGAAATTAAAGAATGGACACATGACACAACAATTGCAAGTTACGAAAGTGCGCATATTCTAACATCCTAACTACATATAACTAGTATCAACATTTACAAATCCCAAACTATTCAAACGACAAACATTTAGGTGGTTTTTCAATTAAACTCATAGGTATTATTTATCATTGAAATGTATTAAAACTTTGTGGTGGTTGGATAATACTTCATTGTCAAACAAAATTTTCCAATAATTTCTTCGATTAAATAATTTTGGTTTTTATCATTTTTTCACTATATTTTCATTTTTTTGGCATTTATACGAATTTATTAATTTACTTGTTAATCAATTTGCATAAATTATGATTAAAATAAGCAAAATAGCTAAGTACAATAATAATATTTTAACTGTTATTTTTTACAACTGTATCAAAACTGCCTTTTATATAAAATGAAGATTATGATCTTGAAAACTAGAATATTAGTTGTAAAATGCTATAATTTGTTGTCGCAATTTATAGACATTAAATAGGAACAAAAAAACCAATCAATATCTTTGTTTCAAAGGAACTAGTATGCGGTTGGTTTATATAGATTTAATGAATTAGGTAAGCAAAATATCAATCGGTAGTAGAAGTGTCATATTTCTACGTTTAATATATAAATGCCATGTCAATATGAAATTCTAAAATATGTTTCCTTAGAATAAAAAGAATATTTTGAGTAATAACGTTATTCTAGTTTTAAGATACATTAGTACTATTGTAGTTTTATATACGCATATATGTATAGAATTACTGCCATTATGGTCAAATGATATCTATCTTTATCCACCTTTCTATGGTTTAATAAAATTATATACTCGAAAACATTATAGTTACAACTGAAGATATCATTTCTATTCTTCTTAAAAGTTAAATTATATTATATTGAAATTAAAATTGAAGCGAATGGGCGTAAGCTAACAAGTAGAATTGTTCAAAAATAGTGACAGGTGGTGGTTTGACGTTTATTCGCCGCCATCGTTATTAGCGACAGCGATCTGCCATATTGCGCGTGATATAAAGAATTGTAATACATTTACGGTATTACGATTGTTATCTGTACATCTAGTACGAGAATTTATTGTTTATGTAGTAATAACATTTCAACAAAATCCTTGTAAGTTGTGGGAAAACATTCCACTGTAGTGAACTGCAAAACGGTGAGTAGACAATGCATTGTTGACATCAGAAACTTTTTTTAGCAAACAGTTGACATCAGGAAATTCAGATCTCATCGTTTGTATTTATCAATCTTAAAACTAATGTTATCGTATTATTTTACCTGATATAATTTGTCCAATATTTTCAATTAACAGTGAGATAATTATTGTTTAAGCGATTATTATTTTGTTTTTTATTCTGCTGAAAAACATTTGAATAAACGTGTAAACGCGTTTTTTTCAAAAATATCTGCAAATTGATATTTTACTAGAATAATATATTAGTTAATACATGTAATATCTTTGTAAATTTATCACTAATAAAATGTTCATTGAATTTACTCCAGTAGTTTTTAATCAAAATTTTGTTAAAAGAGATACTTGTAATTTATTACATCAGATATATTGATGCCATAACTATGTCAATTATAATGTGACCTATGTAATTGTGTTTGTCATTCACGTGTATAGTGTATAACATTATTTGTCATAATTTGTATTTTACTTATTTATATCCTTTCTGTCATATATTCTTGATCAGATTTAATGATCTTTATTATGAATATGACATTTGTCATATTTTAATATATTTATATATATGTAGTTCTATCAGTTTGGTTTTAAATTCTATTGATTATAATGTGTGTAATATAACCTATGAATATATTCAATATATATATAACGAAGTGTGTGCAATATAAATTGATAACAAATTAAAAAATTTGTAAATTATATATTTACAGATAAAAAATGTCAACTGGACCATATAATTACTCCTATATCTTCAAATATATTATTATAGGAGATATGGGAGTAGGAAAATCATGTTTACTACATCAGTTTACAGAAAAAAAATGTAAGTTAAAAAAACAGATATTAGTTTTCATAAACAATTCAGATTTAAATATGCATGTTTGTAACTTCATTTTTATTTCTATTTAAAATTTTTTATATTTATATCATTATATACAAAAAAAATTTTTTATATTTATATCATTATATACAAAGTAATGTAAAAATTTTTTCTTTATTGCAGTTATGGCAGATTGCCCGCATACTATTGGAGTTGAATTTGGGACAAGAATTATTGAAGTTGCAGGACAAAAAATAAAATTACAAATATGGGACACTGCTGGCCAAGAACGTTTTAGGGCAGTTACTAGGTATATATTTTTCCATAATTATCAAATTGTAACATTTTTAACAAAAAGGTAATATAATGCATCTATGTTATAGGTCTTATTACCGAGGTGCAGCTGGAGCATTAATGGTCTATGATATAACTCGTCGTTCAACTTATAATCATCTTAGCAGCTGGCTTACAGATACAAGGAATTTAACAAATCCAAGCACTGTATGCAAAATATGATATTTTACATAATGGTATTTACGTCTGTAAAGTGTAACTACATTGATGCAGAACTGTTGAATGATGTATTTCTCATACTCTATAAATAATAGTTTAATATCATATTACAAAAAATTTTATGTATTATATTTATAGGTTATATTTTTAATTGGAAATAAAAGTGACTTGGAAGGTCAACGAGACGTTACTTATGAAGAAGCAAAACAATTTGCTGATGAAAATGGTCTTATGTTTGTAGAAGCTAGTGCAAAAACGTAAGTCGATATTTTATAATTGGATATTTAATTTGTATTAAATTACATGAAATCTAAATTAAGTAATTAAAATGTAAATATGTAGACAGGTTTTGTCTAAATATTTTAAATAAAATTTATTTTTTATCAGAGGACACAATGTTGAAGAGGCCTTTTTGGAAACAGCAAAAAAAATATTCCAGAGTATACAGGATGGCCGGTTAGTAAAATTGATCTTTTTTACCTAATATATAAATAAGATCCAAATAAAATGGCGATGTTGATATGATTTAATGTGATATATTTATTTATAGTTTGGATCTAAATGCTGCCGAATCTGGAGTTCAACATAATCCAAGTCAACCAGGTCGTACTAATCTTCAAGGTATATCTAATGAACAACAAGGTGGAAAAGATTCTTGCTCCTGTTAGGTCTTTGTTTGTATATAGACATATGAATTCATCGGTACTATTGATGCATATATGATTTATACTAAGTATAGTAAGCAAATAGTCTCCTGTCTTTATCCCTCTACCTTTTATATGTTAAATCTATTCAATGAAAAATATTAGTTTTTTTCTAGTTAGATTTAATTTCCTAATAAATAAAGTACAGATCCATGATTTAGTCTACATATGCATATAAATTGTACTGATAACAATGATTCTGTATTAACATTGAAACTGATATTTCAATGTTGAAGCTTTTCTATGATTATTGTAATTTGCATAAATGCAAATATTATTGCATAGATCGTATACTTTATTGTGTAAAAGATTTATTATTAGACAATATGTTGTACTCACAAATCTTATAGTACATTGTGTACAAGGTGCATTATACGAAACATTTACTTAATCACAAGAAAATATGATAAATATGAATGTGACACAGCCAAATATTTACCATTGTAAATTAAATTTGCGTAACAAGATTAAGCACGTTTAATCGTGTTATCTAATTTAGTTTGAAAGCTATTGTACTATAAGCTTAAGTGCAAAAGATTGTTGGTAACTAAAACTAAACTTCTCAACAGCATCAAAAGAGTTGTCATAAAATGGCATAATGAAATAGAATTAATGTCAACTCTAGTGTTCCATGTGACTACAACCCCATTTTCATATCATGCAAAGCTAATGCAAAGTTAAATATAACTTTTATTTTTTGCTTGAAAAACATTTTAATTTCCAGATGGTTTGGAATATTCCATGTTTACAATTTGATGAAAAAAAAATTTAATATATTGTTATGATTACTATCATTTCAAAATTGAAAGTCTTTTTCATAACTGTTAAAAATGAAGCATTGTATCGATTTGTATGTACCTTAAGTCATTATTCACATTTCATGTTATATTAATTTTAAAAAACGATTGGCAGAGGTGTAACCTGTGAAATTTATTATTTTTTACACTTTTACTTGACAGCTATATTGTATGTAGCCTCAATGTTTTTTTTTGAAATCATAAATTTATATACCATTCCTATTAAAATGAAGATAAAAGATTAATTTAAAAAAGAGTTAAATATTATGTATTGTTTTAGTTTAATATACAGCAAAACAGTTATATTGGCAAAAAATGTAAAATATCGTTTAAAATAAATTTGACTAAAGCTTTTAGATTCACTTAAAATAATTATTGTTGCGTTATGCGTGCATAAAATTTAATTAATTGTAGATCGATGAAAACTAATTTAATGTACAAGATAGAAGCAAGATCTTTTTTTAATTTCATGCGTATTATTGTTTATAACCAATTTCAACTTTAGTTATTCATCAATATATTTTTTACATCTTGTATATATGAATAATAACAAATAATAATAATAAATATTTATATTGCAGCTGCATCAAAATGATTAATTTCACATCCTTAATACAAAATTTGAAACTTTGAAAATATATTTTTATAACTTAAACGGTAAAATTATTAAGTTGTATGTACATTACATAAAAAACTGATAGCATATTTCACTTAATTATCTCTTTAATTTTACATGTCATACAACCACATATCGTATTATTACTAGAAAGAGAAATATGTAAGTATATAACATTTCATATTACAATTTCAGTAGTGCTTTTAAATTATTTTAGTACGAATGATTTTTAAATATATATTTAAAAAGTTTCTAATTTTTTTTATTTATTGTATATATTGGTAAATGTATATAAGTATCTTTTTCAGAGAATAAGATTTTAGTTTATATAGTATAAAAACACGTTTTAATTTTGCCGCGTAAATTCATTATATAAATGCATTTTTAAACATCAAACGTGAGATGTACATAAATCACTTTGACTTGCATTACATGCGTAAATTTAATAAAGTCATTAAGTGTAAAAAAGAGGAATTAAATTTTGCATAAAATTGTGTAGTTATTACATGACAAGTTAGAAATTGTTAAACAACAATGAATTATCGATATATTTATAGTACTTTTATGATTGGAATGATGTTTCACTTAGTGAGGGGGTGAGTTGTATTTCTAGTAACAGTAATCATTTTTTTTGAATAAAAATGGATTCTTATTTCTTTATGGAAAGAGTAGAAGAATTTCTTCATTAAAATAAATATAATGAATAAAGAATTTCTTTATTAAAATAAATATAATGAATAAAGAATTTTTTTATTAAAATAAATATAATGAAATTATGAATAATGTTGATGATAATTGATGACAATAATTATCAGTTATATTAACCTTGTAATTTTTTTATTGTATTTCTTCGTATTTATTATAACCTGTTTTAATAATTCGTAACTTCTAATAACACTACTTGTTAATACATATAGTTAATATTTAAAAATAGCTTCTATTAAATAACTTTTCAATATTATTTGTAAATAAGATTTATTGTTTGTTTTTATAATTAACTAGGCATAAAGAAATACTTTTTGATTTTACAACTGTAGAAAATGTGGATAATTGGAAAGAAATATCTGATACTGTTAGAACAGTAGGAAAATCAAAAGCTGTTTTAGTATTACAAACAACACAAGTTTTTCAACGTGCTGTATTCTTTACTCTTTTAAATCCACAACCAAATGGTGCAGGATTTGCAGGGATACGTACAATGACTAATTTAAATTTGTCTAATTTTGAAAATATTGATCTCAATTGCCGAGGTCAAGGCAACAATAATCATTACAAAGTTGTTCTTAGACACAAAGGTCTTCATTCAAATGAAGATGTAACATATGAACAATTTTTTATGGTAAACTTTAGTTACATTATCTTGAACTAGTCTTGGAGTATATAATGAATTGTAATTTATATTCCAAATAATTTGATTAAATAGCATAGTTTACAATTTTTAAATAATAAAAATTTTTAAATTAATTTAATACAAAAGTTATATTAAATTATAATAGGCACCTATGTCAGATACTGATTTTTCAACTGTAACATTGCCTTTGACAAATTTTAAACCATATTATCGTGGACGTGAAGTACCTGATGCAGAACCATTAGACACTGCAATTATCACAATGTTTGGTCTACAAGTGTATGGTGGAGTTTATTTACCAATTAAACAAAAAGGTGTATCAGCACTAGAAATAGAAAATATTTCTGTATCATAATTATTGTATGAACTAAGTTTACTGTATTTTGAATACTTCGTAACAGCATGTACTGTATAAGGGATAATAAAACATACAGAAATGTATCAAATTTGTAGAATTATTTAATTGTTATAAAAGTACATATTCTGACTAAATCTTATTAGTTTCTTTATAGCAATATTCATTTATAAATGTAAATCAACAAGCATATTTTAAAATGAATAATGAATGTGCTTAAATTCATTTTGAAACCGTGTTTTGAACACAATCATTGTAATATATTTTTACCAAACTTCAGACATGTTTTTTTTATATTAAAAAAAAGTTTACCAATCATTTAAGTAACTTTCTTCAAGAGTGTTATATGATTTAAGATCGTGATTGAGACTGTAATAAAAAAAAAAATATACATATATACAAATAAATACAAATGTTTATTTACATTTATTTATATTAAAATATATCATTATAGCAATTATTAACTTACGTTTTAAATGCATCAACAATTTCTGGTACTTTAGATGGATGACATACAATAGTTGTTTTACATT